ATCAAGGCATTTTCTTCTCAAACATAAAATACACAAATTTGGCACAATAGCATACCGTAGCAGGACTTGGCTATATTAACATGACTTCTCAGCCCATATATTAGATGCCCTGAACCCAACAGAGAACAATAGAGAACATTGGAGTAAATTGCAAACATCCCTTCTCCTCAAACTGGCACAAGAAGAAGTGTATCACAGAAAAAAAGCAAAAGTAAATTGTTTTAAAAGAAGGGGATGAGAACACACAAAAAAATCCACAAATATGTCAAAGAAAGAATCGGGCACCAGAGGATTGTTGTAGTTCTTTTTACTCACTACTTATTAATGTGTACGCGAAATCAAGAGGAAGACGAAGGAAGGGAACTCACACACTGACCAACAAGCTATTGGCACAATTGCAGTTGTTACTTCCAGAACCTATACATGGAAGAGCCTAGAGACAATCAATGTTCTCAATATTTGCTTCAGTTCATCCCTTATACAATTACACCTCTAATATTGTTGATATTATATATCACCCTATTGATGAAGAGATCAAAGGGGCAACTTGGCAGTTGAATAAAGAAATCTCCCCCAAGACAAGATGGCTTTCCAGGAAGCTTTTATAGACACTGTTGGTCTATAATCAATAATTATAATGAGGCGGTGCATGAATTCTATCTACGAATCCCTAATTGTATCATTATATACTACAACATCAAACTACTGCATAAAAACAACATGATTGTATCATTATATCGGTGGCCTAGGGTGTAGTCCTTGAAAGGAGTACCTTAGCTTCACACTTAGTGATAGTGATAATCAAATTCCAAAATTAAGAGAGAGAGAAAAGCATAGCAAATGGTCTCAGAGGAGAAATTCAACCGAACTGTGAAGTGTGAGCTTTTTACAAGTCTAACATCTTAAATTCCAATAGCGATATGACTAACAAGCAAAACCATGAAAGGATAACCACAGGTAAAAAAAGACTAGTTAAAGGAACATGAAATAGAAAAGAGGTTTAGAACAAAACAGTTCAGTCCAAACTCCAAAGTAATATATGCAAACATGTTAATACCACTAGTAAAAAGATGACTTATAGTGACATTTAATTAGTGTCACTAAACGATTTAGTGACACTTTGAAAGTGTCACAAAAAAGTGGAGCTAGTGACGCTAAATTTTGTGTCACCGTTAACAAGTCACTTTGGTGTCACAAAATTATGACATATAAACATCATAGAGATCTGTGATATATACGTAATAAGGATTTTTGTGATACCAATGCATCATGCTTTTTAGTGATATACCGACATCAACAAATATAATGATACTAATACACATTCAAATTTTGTGATGGTTTGGTGTCACTAGCCCCACTTTCCTGTGACACTTTCAGAGTGTCATTAAATCATTTAGCGACACTAATTATAAGTGTCACTATATCTTGCTTTCATGACAGATTAGTGGCATTACTTTATATGTTTGCATTCAAGCAATATAGTAATACACCAATTAACCAACTTTAAATACACACTAATAAACATTACAATATAATACTAGTGTTTGGATTTCATCATTGTTAATTCTTATTGTTAGGTTACAACTTCCCCAACAACATAGGCGCAGCCGCGCAGGCTTTCAGTTTCAAGCAAAAATGACGCCACAATTAACCGGGGCATTGCATAACGTACAGTTTTACATTCCACAAAACAAGAACCTACAAAAGTATACCCAACATAAAGTTCTCAATGAATTTCACTCCAAAAGTGTTTCTTGCATTTTCCTTCACTCCAAAAGTACACGAACTCCAGATCATCATTCAATCAACCGCATCTGTAAACAAGAAGTACAAGTATAAGAAATTAATCCAGGTTCTGTAAAATGTTAACACAATGAACAAAATAAGTACAATATGGAAAAAAAATCTTACTTTAGGATCAATTTTGTTGCATATGCTACCCACTCCTCACACACTTGCAAGATGTCTTGTTCAGAGTAGTCCTTTATTGTTGAGAACTATGAGTATAAAAATACAATGAGTACAAACATATACAAACTTCAATTAATGTTATCCCACAAAAATATATACAAATAATCCACATTTAACTCACATTCTTTTTCAAGACATTAACATCACAGACAATGTCACTCATGTACTTCATCAAGAAGTATCCACATTCCATAGAACCAGTTTGCTTAGGGCACTAAATAAGCGTCAAGTACAGATTGGTATCATTATACAACATCATGTAAACATGCCAAATACAATATAGGGCAATGAGGAACATACCATGACTGTAACCCAATTCAGAGATAACCTCTTCTTTGAAACCGAGACATGATGAATTTTCACTCCCGTGATATTCAAATACAAGTTAGATATGAGTACATTATTTTTCATCAACTTATAAAAGTTCCTATTTTTCAACACAATGCTCTGACCGAAACAATTACAAAAAAAGGCATAGCTACATACATGCATTGTGATTAAGTACCACAATGTATGACACTCAAAGATAACTTAACTGGTTCACAATTAGTGACAGATCTTCTGATGGATTCTCTCCAATTGAGTCCAAATAGTACACTGTCCATGCCACAACATCAATGGCTACCAACACCCAATGATTGCTACACATTATATTATCTATTTAATCAATTGCTATAAAAAATTCCAGGTTGAAATAAAAGGATACGAATCAGTAGCAAAAAAAGATTTAGTGTAATACTTCTAACCGTCGTAATTACCATGTATTATAAGGGATCAGTGTGATTTGTCCAGGCAAACAACCACCCAAAAGATCTGCTATATAGCGAGACCTCCTTGTAATGGACTCATCTGAGGGTTTCAATGGTACCGGTATTGCACCAGACGTGCCAAATTGGACTGGCATATTACCTCCATCTTCAAGCATCTTCTGATATAAGTGCCTTCTCATCCTTTGTTTTTTTTATATATTACTACTAATTTATAGACCACAAATGTTATTCAAGTTAGTCTTGAGTGTTTTATTTTTACTATTTTAAGACCACATATGATTGTACTTCTCGGACTGAGCCTTGAGTACTTTACAAAAGTTTTAATTTGAGCACCAAAAAGTTTTACTCATGCAATCATTTTGATCATATACAAACATACAGTCATGGTATTGAATTTCTAACACCACACAATTTCAGAAACATACCTCTTGATGAAGTTATAAGTCAGCTGAAACAAAATATTTGTAGACCGTGCGTGCCTGGACAGTCAATCGATAGATCTAATCTTAAAAGAAGCCTTTGGAGATTCTGCAAATTAGGAAACAACAGTCTCAACCTTAACACCTGAAGTGCAAATTAGGAAAACTACATTAAAAAAAGTAGTACTTTTCTATAAGCCATTCGAAGTGTTTGTGTTTATCTCATATGCTTAGATGATTTCTTCTACATATTATATGAAAAGAATTTAATAGCTAAAATAGATAGGTATTAATAGTGTAATACATGTAAGAAAACAAATGCATTAAAAAAAGCAGTACTTTTGTATAAGCCATAAGAAGTATTTCTGTTTACATATCTTGAATAGTTTAAATATCTTCAATATTAAAAGCAAATTACATTTCATTTTAGATCAAACTTGCAGACCTCTCTTCCAATGATATGGTAAATAAAAAATGTGTAGTTAATGGTGTTTTTAACAACATTTATGCTACCATCACAATAAAAATTGCAGTCTATGTGCACTTCTCTTGTAGTGTATACAATATGCACTCTGTCTATATTAGATTATATAATTTAATAAGTACTCCCTCCGTCCCGTTGGAATGTTCTCGGTTTGACCTACACACATATTAAGGAAATAAACTTACCAGAGGGTAAATTTTACTGTTTTGACATTGTTTCAACACTATTTGGCACTGTTTCGACACTGTTTGACACTGTTTTGCACTGTTTGACCCTGTTTTGATGTAGGATAACTTTCCATTTAGGGAAATGGGAACTTTCTAACGGGACATCCAAAAAAGGAAAGCGGGAGCATTCCAACGGGACGGAGGGAGTAACATTTTTAACTCTACTAAACTAATTATCTTCATTTTTTATTTGCTTGACTAATTTCAAACGTGGAGGCCTCGCTTTTTAAAAGTCCATCAGCATCATGGTGATTTCACATTACGGTCACATATGTTACATGACTAGATTTATGGTGTGAATGGTATTTAGGATGTTTTTAATTGAACTGATTTCGAACGAGATAGATTCAAACAAATAGAATTAGATCTGACTACACTAGATTTAAATAATAGTAAATATACATTTATCGGTCTTTCACGAAATTGACCAGATTTTTTAAAAAAAAAATTACATATATGATATGGATGTCATATGAAAGATCATAAAAAGTTATTTAATTTGGTATAACTTTTATAAAAATTGGAGCAAAATGAAAAAGTTATGACATTTTATATAAAAATAAATTTTACTTGCCACATAACAGCAATTGATTGGATGTATATTTAATGCAAAAATGATATGGCCAAGGGAGAAGGGAGCCTACCGTGGAGTGGAGGGTGCACCAAGTAATTTTAATTAATTTTTTAATTAGACTTAATTTTTATTAATAATTAAGAAGGCCAAATTTGTCCATCCATGGTTACATTAAGCAATTTTGGGGGTGCATGAAGCATCACCCATAATCCGTCGTGCATCTCATTATAATATATACTCCGTATTCATATATTATAAGATCAAAGAATTTATGATTTATTGTATATACACATATGTATGTTGAAGTATATTTGTAGTACTATAATTTAAGAAAAAATATGTATACTTATATATTCAGCGGATCGGAGCGGCACGGGTCAATTCTAATACCCGGACCCGCCCCATTGTATAGGCGGGATGAAGCGGACCCGCCCCATTTGCAAGATGGGGTGGGGCGAACCCGCCCCAAATGTCTCGGGCCATGGCAGGTCATTGCGGGTCGGATTTTTTTGACATCCCTAGCCCAAATCAGCAAGGAACCAATTAACCAAACTACCAAAGTGGCAAAGAACACACAGCTGTCATCGATCGACGACGCACAGCTAATCGCTGCAAAAAAAACAAACGGTCAAATCCCTAGTCATTCGACTTCTTCGAGACCTCGCCAAATCGCCAGTCGGTGGGCCGTTCTCTCGTCGGCTTCGTCGCCCGTCGGACGGTCAGTACACAGCCGCAAGTTTTTGTTCCAGAGCTCGACTGACGACTACTCAGGCCTCCAGCCTCCAGACTCCGGTGCTCACCAGTCGCTAGCCATTTTCGCTCTTCGTCGCCTGGCCGCCTCGCCTGACGCCGGTAAGTTTGTTTTGTGTTCTAAGTTTGCTAATTGCTACTTGCCTGCTTTCCTAAGTTTTTTAGTCGTAATGCCTATTTGGGTGAACTATATTCAATTTGAGGCATTTGATATTTGAGTGAAGCACTTACTAATTTTAACATTTAGTATATGAATTTAATATGAATATGATTTGTGATTCCTTAGTTGTAATATGTCATTTGTCAGCCTCATTTATATTAGTATCAATTTGATTGTTATTTGTTAGTATAAATATAAATATAATTATTAGTTACTTGGTATTATTTGAGTTACTGATAATTTCATTTATTCGATAAAGGTAATAACACTCAATGATAGACTTATTGTTTATGTAGAATTAGACATTTTCTTGAAAATTGACAATGATGTCATTATCAAAGGATGAGTCCATAAAAACTCGTAGAGAACCGTTTTAAAATTGTGATTTTTTTGTATTTGATTTTGACGAAAACTATTAATCCTAAAATCTTTGATTTTGTTACAATGGATGCTACTTTATACTTGAAAATAGTTTTTGTGAAATAGACATGATTATATTACATTTTGATTTTTTTTTGTTGCAATATGCGTTAGTTAATTAAATTTTGGCCCCATGCAAGCCCGCAGGTCTGAGGTGGCGGCGCTTCAAAAGATCGGTGAGAAAACCGAGTGACCTGTGGGTTGTGACAGTCGCTTCTATTCTTCAAAATGGAGGAAAATTCTGATTCCAATTGATTGATGCCTTGATTGCTTCAATTCTGGCTTGTTTATTGGTTTTGCAGCTTTGCTTTGGAAAAAAGTGCAAAACGCGGGCCAACTCAGCCACACCATTTCCAATTTCTTAATAGCTTCAATTCCAATTCCAGTTGCTTTCACGCAGCTGACAAAGGTTTAGCTTCTAGAGTTCCAGGAAATTATTTCCTCAGTCGATTTAGGACTTATTGGTTCAGCTTCATTTTAACACTCCTTGCCGTTCAGACATTGGAAAGCCTTCTTTAACACTGTCATCTCCTTCGAAATATTTCATCGCACACAACAACAAAGAAGAACCTGCGGAAATTGTCAACCTGAGCTGCTGAGCATTTTGCGAGCTTTCACCATACCAACGAAGAAGAACCTCAAAGCCTAACTTTTTCATCTTGGTATTTTCTCTAATCTGAATCTTTTGTTCTATTTTTTCTCCTTCTCGATCTAGTCAGTTCCTAATTTCTATAGATTGATAAAATTTCAGAAATTTAACTTAATTTAGAGAATTTACATTCCTAAACCTCATGTCAAACTCATATTCTTCAACTTAATTGCTATAGATTGGTAAATTTCACCATATAATTGAAGTCATCCACATAGCCGCCTATGTGTTCGCTGAAAGTGTTTCAAGAACACTAACTTTTATATTAACATGTATGTATATATGTATATATTCAAAAGTAAAGCAATTTCGGCTACTTTAACTTTGTATCAATAAATATTTTGATTTATTCTTGGGATGTTTATACATCATCTATTGTTGGGATTTTTTGTTGTTGTTGGTTACATTGTGATTTTTTTTCTTTCGAACACTGATTAGGCAATAATATAGATCCCCGGGACCAAGTTATTATTATTTATTTTTCTCCCTTTATGTTAAGTTTGATTGTCGATTCATTTTTTATTGTATTTTCCAAGATGAGGCAGATTTTATCTTTAGTTAATGCAAGTGAGTACATATATTTTGTGGCCATAATTTTACTTGACCTCATTAATCATTATGTGGAAGTAGATAGCTCAATGGTTGATGCAAGTGATTGCAGATTTTATCTTTAGTTGATGCCTCTGTGATACCAAAGTATTAGATGACCTAAAAATTGAAATATCAAATATCAAATTTTCTTATTTTGTTCCAAACAACGAGTTGATTCATTGTTTGGCAGTTTGTGAGTTTGTGACACATAAAAAAAGTAATAGAGCATACACATGAATGTTAACTGATAGAGCATATACAAGCATATAAAAAGCTGGCAACTTTTACTATAGTGCCCCGTGTCTTACAAGGGAATGCTGCAAATAAGATATAAATATTCATACTCTGTTTTCTCATATTCTATTTTATTCGTTTGCAACTTGTAGCCAAGCATGTAGTTCCACAGTTCATACTATGTTTTCTCATACTTTGTAGTTGCATATATGCTTGATATACTATTTAAGTGGGTAGCTATTTTACATCTTTGACCAAGATAGCTTTTAGTTGCTCTCTATCCTATTACATGATGTGTGCACCACAAGTAAGCAGGTTTTTAGGCATATGAAATTATCGTTCAGAACAAGAAAAGTAAACAAGTAATATACATTCAGCTCTTGTTCCAGAGAGAAGGGTTATTTGGTCATTTGATATTATTCAGAGATCTCGTTCAGCTCACATAGTAAACAGTTTGTTATCTCAGTGTCACTTAATCGAGGTAGACAGCTTAATGCAGACAGACGTCTTAATCCATTCAGGACTTGATGAAAAAAAAAGCAAACAGCCCCTGATCTGATTAATTAAAAGTTGAAGCCATGGTGGCCGTAAACCTCTGTTCTTTGCTTCTATTCTCTGCATTTCTTCGCTTGTTCTTGATCCTCTACGGTGAATGGCAAGACACACACATGGAGGTTCGATACACTGATATTGACTACTTTGTATTTTCTGATGCCGCTGCTCTGATGGCCAAAGGTGATTCCCCCTACAAGAGATCCACCTACCGCTACTCACCGTTTATCGCTTTTCTCCTCATCCCCAATTCCTTCATCCATCCTTCTTGGGGCAAGTTCCTCTTTTCTGCATCAGGTAATATATTACTGACAATCTTTTTCTATCATGGAGCGTTTTCTTTAAATTCTTATGTGTATTGAAATGCTAATTGTTTTGCACGGCAGATCTGCTCGTGGGGTTTCTAATACATAAAATCTTGAAACTAAGAGCAGTGCCGGAGAGACTGGTGTCCTATTCAGTAATGGTCTGGCTATTCAATCCTTTTACCTTTACAATTGGAACTCGAGGAAACTGTGAACCAATTGTTTGTGCCATTCTTCTTTGGATCATTATCTGTCTCATGAAAGGCAAGTCTTATGTTAACTTTTAGTTGAACTCCAAAAAATAGGTTTGATACCCAAGTTCGTGGGCCAACGCCTGCACTTGCTCCTAGAATGCCGGGGGGGAGCTTAAATTGTGGAACCTATGTTATCTAATCGCCGAGTACTTGCCAAGTACTTGCTACTAGGGGTAGGACCTTGCCTATTAGCATTCTTACTCGCTCTATTCCAATTTTTTGAGTAACTCGTACTCAGTAATAACTAATAAGGTTGACTTGCTGAATTACTCGGCAACTAGTAATTATTTTTTTAAGGGTTAAATATGGAAAATTTATACTAAAGTGGGATATTGTGGAATTTATAAATAATTAGTGGACTTTTTAAAAAAGGAGATTTCCCTAAATAGGGGTAAATAGGTTTTGGAATTTCAAAATAGGACTGATTATCTTTTTCTTCCTAAAATAGGAGTAACATGGCAGTATTTACTGTCATCTTTTAGTCATTACTACCAATCATGACAATATTTTTCAATCATGAAAATATAAACACCCTATTTAGGGAAGAATAACATAGCAGTCCTATTTTGGAATTCCAAAATATTCTCTAACACCCATCATGTTTTCTTGATAACAGGCTCACTTGTGCAAGCAGCACTTTGGTTTGGATTTGTTGTCCACGTGAGAATCTATCCTATAATTTATGCACTTCCCATAATTTTGGCTCTTGATCCTCTAAATTTCCAGCCTGATAGTTCCGAGCCCATACTGACAGATTGGAGTTCTATAAAGCCGAGTTCATATTTCAGAAGACGTTCTCTTCGTGCTTTCTTGATAAGCATGTTATCTTGGAGGAGGGTGATGTTTGGATTAATTTCTGGTGCTATGTTCTTTATCTCGACTGGATTTTTCTTCTATCTATACAGATGGGAATTCTTGCACGAAGCTCTGCTATATCATCTCACTCGTACTGACCCAAGACACAATTTTTCAATATACTTCTACCACATATATCTCAACTATGAATATGAGTTCTCAGTCTTGGAAAAGCTAGTCTCTTTTTTTCCTCAGATTATGGTGCAGGTAGCAATCATCTTTTGTTTCGCCCAAGACTTTCCTTTTTGCTTCTTCGTGCAGACAGTTGCATTTGTTGCATTTAACAAGGTTTGTCAATACTGGTTAGTCTTTTAATGTAATGGCTGTTTGGTAGTTTTTTCCCCAGTTTTCACCCCTATCAACCGGATTTTTTAGCTAACACTAAATTATTTCAGTGTTGTGACTTGTGACTGAATTGATATATGATAAAGAAAAAAGTAATGCATAAGATACTTTTCAATCTGAAAGCTAAAAATAATGAAAAAGTTGCACTCCAACCTTAATTATAGATATTCTATTTCTTAACATATTTAAATTCTATATATCAAATAAATATTGTAGATAATTCCTCAAACTCAGTCATTATACCCACATATTTCTCATATTCAGCCATGTTTGGGCTCTTAGTTTTCTTCACTAGTTATGCGCTACTTGTAATAATTGTTCAGTTACTTGCCATTTGCATATAGGTAATTACTGCTCAATATTTTGTATGGTATTTTTGCCTATTACCAATGATTCTGCCATGGAGTAAAATGAAGCTGAAAGGGGAGGGGCTAGGCTGCATTCTTCTGTGGATAGGAGCTCAGATGCATTGGTTGTTCTGGGCATATTTGCTTGAATTCAAAGGAAAGAATGTATTCATTCAACTTTGGATAGCTAGTTTGCTGTTCTTGGCTGCAAATACCGTTGTCCTCACCACCATCATAAGGCAACACTGTTACTCTCCGGTATTCTCCAAGTCTCCACGTGGGGTTTCAAACAAAACCCTGAAACATGAATAGGTGTGGTCCGGCAAACACAGCTTAATCACAAGGGATACATCTTTATCAGATAATATCAATAGCGTTTTTGAGAATACAAAGAACTCAACAACAGATGTAGAGCAACTCAATTTTTTAGAGAGGGGTGGGTCGGGATAAGTTTGATTAGTTGGGGGCTCTATGTGAATGATCCCTCATGTCTGATACCATGGTGCCATGATGCTCTGCTGATAAAGTTGACCGGAGGAAAGAATCCTCATATCTTTATAAAGGCGTACAAAAGCTTTGTTATAGAAGAGCAATGTACACATTTTTTGTTCATGATTCTGAGTATGCATCAACTATCAAGTCAGTTAAGTTACTTGTATGACTGTATCATAGACACACAAATGGAATCCACCAAGATAAATAAAATTCAGAGTTTTAAGAACCATCTGATCTTGAACTTTTTTTTTAGAAGACACCATGTCTTGGCCTTTCGATGGATCATTTTCTCCGTTTTACTTAGTGCAAGTATTGTGTGGATCGATATATCTAGTGAACAGTGTTACAGTGTCACTTAAGGGTCTCATACTCTCAGTCTTATATGTAATTATGTGAGTCTTCAAACGATTTTTATTTTGTTCGTCGACAACCAACAGGGCGCTTTTGTCTTGAAAGATTTTAAAGATTATCTTTATACGTGAGTCATTCACTTCTAGGACACGTTATTTCAGTGGTTATTAAGATTTACGTTTATAAGCAACGCCTAAAATAACCTTATACATATTGACACACAAACATTCATGTACACAAGTATATATTATATTCCCTCCGTCCCATTGGATTTTGCCAACTTTCCTTTTTTTGTTGTCTCAAAAAACTTTGTTATTTTTCTACTAAAGCAATTAATTTGTGGTTCTGCGCATTTCTCTCTCTTCTGCACAAATCTCAACCACACAGTTTTTACTATTCTTATTTCTCACCTACTTTGCACTTGGCAAAGTCCACCGGGACGGAGGTAGTAATACATGAGGGCCACCTCGTACGTGTATGCAAATCCCTAACCCTTACTTTACTCATCCTACCCCCCAAATCCAACCTTACACCCTACCCCTACCTCGTGCCCTATCCATACGCTTACCCCGACTTGGGTATGTTGGGGGTAGTTGGGGTAGGGGTTAATGGGTGGGGGTAGAGGTACAAGCCTACTGATCAGGGTAGGGTACAAGTATGTGGTAGGGATAGGTGTAGGGTGAGGGTGGGGTGGGGTACGCATACGAGTAAGGGAAGGTGTATGGGTTAGGAGGTACGGGGTTATGGGGGTAGGGTGGGACCAGTCGGGGTGGGGTCTAGGTAAGGTAAGGGTTGGTAGGGGTGGGTAGGGGTAGGAGTAGAGTAGAAGTAACAGTAAGGGGTGAGGGCAAGAGTAAATTCCAAAATTGAAAAAGTTTATAGTGTCACTTAATTATTACATGGGGATGATATGCTTAGTAGACTACACGTTAAGCACATGTTTCAATTAGTAAGCTTTTTAAGCAATTTGCGTGTTTACTTCACATGTCTTACTAGCCTAAATATGATTTTAGCAGCGAAGTAAAAACGTCCTTAATTTTGTTTTTAAACGCTCAGTTTTTACCAAGTACTCCCTACTTTATTGATATAAAAATAAACCATTTTTATAAGTTGAAGCAATTTATATAAAGATGAACCATTTTTTATAAGTAGAAGCAAACACAAACGGTATGACCATTTTAGACTAAACAAATGATAGATCAAGTTCGTTAAAAACTGGAGTCGTGTCTACATTTTCAAACAAAAATAGCTCGTCCTATAGACTTATAGAGTAGTAGATCCTTCCGGTCCATACAAAAAGTTATCATCATTTATAGAGTAGTAGATCCTTCCGGTCCATACAAAAAGTTATCATCATTTATCATTCCCAGAACTCTCTCCATCCTAAAAAACTTAGTCAATGTTGACTTATATGTAATTTAATAAAGTAAAAACTATGTAGTTGATATTTGTGCAGGTGAGAGAGAAATAATTGGAGTGGTATAGTATTAGGAGTCCAAAATGTTAAAGGTGACATTTTTTTATCCCTAATTTCGTATAGTGGTGGGTTAAATAGGGTAGTAAAAATGTGAAAGTGGGTGGAAGGGATTAAATATAGAGGAAGATTGGCAGGTCGAAAAAACGGAAAAGAAAAGAAAATGGGGAATGGTGCTGGTGTGGCCCGCGTTTGGCGGAGGGAAATGGAGAACAGAAATTCTTGGTGTACACCTTCTTATACAAACCAGTACACCTTCGTGTCTATGAGAGATTTTTTGTCTGTTAATCTCAGTTCACTGACAAAACCGGTTTGTTTTGTCTGTGAAAAATTCTACAAACAAAACAAGGCAGTTTTTGTCTATCGATTAGGATTTACAGACAAAAAAAATCTCAAAGACATAAGATCTAGTGATAAGAACGTGTACAAAAGGAATTTTTGAAAAGAGAATAAAGCGTGGATGGTTTGCGGTGCGCAGAAGGAATATGGGAGTGGGTACCGGGTAACAACGTCATGGTGATGTTAGTAAACCATTATTTTTCAAAAACTCTTATAACTTTTTTATTTTTTATCCAAAGTTTTCAAAAAATATATTAAAATTCATAAATTTTTATGATCTTTCATATGACACCAATATGTAATATATAATATGGGAAAAAAATCTGAAGTTTTAACAATTGGAGTTTTCTTGAACTCAAAATAATACGAAGTACTAAACACAAATTTTTAATTAATGGATCCTCTATAAATGACTTAATATTCCACAATCGAACTTTACTTGAACTAAATTGAATTTTGGTTAACCGCAAAATGTTTAAAAAATAATGAAATTTATTTATTTTTACATCAAAATGTGTATTTTTTATTTCATAATTATTCATTTATTCAGGAAAAAAATAAAAGGAAAACGTTACCTATAATAATATAATTAATGTTTTACTAAATTAATATGTAAAAAAATATGCAAAGTACATTTTATTGACGGTGTTGGAATACAGAAAAATAAGACTCAAAACACTATTTCCCTATGAACAGAGTCCATTTTTGACATTTTGGCTTCCACATCACTCCAAATGGTCTAAATGGAAATGACAAAGTTTTTTGGAACGGTCAAAAACGGAAAGTTGGTCAAGTTTTGTGGAACAAAGGTAGTATGTTCAATGATCCTCAAATTTGGAAATATAATCTTCCAAGAATATAAATTTGGAAATACAATCAATAAATTTTTTATTCACATTTTGTGGAAGAATTTGATGATTCAAATAAAAATACACAAGATATAAAAGTTTGATACATTTAGAGCCCGTTTGATAACACGAAAATCGTCTATTTTGGCTTATTCTGCTGAAATTTATAAAGTTCTGACTGAAGTGACTACATTGGCTGATTCTGATGATTTAAGAAAAAATAATTTTAAAATATATTTTATTAATGAAATAAAGAAAAAATTATATGTAAAAATAACTAAAATAGTTATCTACAGTAACTTCAACCTTACTTTTTCTGCTTATTACACAATTCAGCGCGTGAAAGCAAAAATTACGTGTTGAGTGAAAAAATTAGCTGGTAAGTCTGCTAAGCTGAAATGGCCAAACAGCCTCTTATTATTATATGTCTTCAATTGGCGCCAATGGCCCAATATGAAAGTTATTTTGAAGAACTATCAATGCGCTAAGCGCTTTTATCATTTGATAATAAAACACATAATAAACCAGTAATTTGAGCATCGGTTTAAGGTCTTAAATGATGCGTTCTTGAAATCATATGATTTATTCCTGAAATCATGTAAACTTTTATATAGGTGTACAATACATCTCTAAACCCTTTTATCCCACTAATACTTCCAAAGCACCTTTATCATTTACACATAAATCTATCGAAAGAACGTCATTACAATGTACAAATAGCTTTTACCTAGCAAACAAAAAGACATGGTTATAATCGAAAAAATAAAAGTTCAAAAAAGTGCAAAAGACAAAAAATAAAAGAAATAAAAAATTATCAGATGACGGATGGTCCGATGGTGAGGATACTTTAGATGTCAACTATAGTTAAGAAAATAAAAAAAAAATTGCACTTTCGTGGATTTCTGATTATAGCGCTCTCAAGTCTCAACCAGGCTGACAAGCTGTGGACTAAAATGCTACATACAAGTAAAACTTTTCCTAACAAAATTTTGCCACAAAAGATATATAAGACAGCCAGGGCTGCCAGGGTGACATCCTTTTTATGAACCAAAATGTTAAAGGCTAGGCGAACTTTTCCTCATACAGTTGTTAGGAAGAGACACTTATGGAGCCATTATTCCTTCAATTGTGTATGCTAATGACTTCGCCCAGTCAGCTTTGAGCAGCAATGTCTGCAGTGTTCTCATAATGTCATAATCTGGGTCAAGTTTCCGTTGCCAACCCTGTCAACACACCGTGGAAAGTGCTATTTAAGTAGGAGAATTGTTCTAGACTAAAAAATCACTCTTTTAAGGCATGTTAAGATCATGGAAAATGTTCCAGAAAGAAAAACAGCAGCGCCACACATGTTTTCTTTTTATGCTGGTTTATCCTAGAAAAAGAAAAGTAAGATTACATATAATTTCTATAATTCAACAATCTTCATTATCCTTTCCTTCCTATATCTTTCCCTAGTATTTTCTTGGACCCACACAGACCCTTATTGACGAACATACCTCCAGGACTAAAGTCGTCACCATCGCAGCACACACATTTCCATCAATGTTTACTTGGTGACGCCTAACTTGTTCAAGCAGATGATGCATGCAGTCGGCAGGGTGGACTAAATCACCTTCTGCAGTCCCCCAAAAATCAAATGACTCTTTCACTTCCTGTTACGAGGAGGATTCAAACACAAAAACTTAATTACAAATAATTAACTTGATCAAACAAAAACCCGCAGCCCACATGCTAAAATTGTGAAACTAGCTTTTTAAATAACTTACTACCAAATTAGTCTTTATTAAACTACGAGTATAAGTTTGGAACTATACCTCTCCCCAAAAGGGTTTAAGTGTCATTAATCATCATTTGATATTATAATTCACTTCATCACACCTTATATCATGTGATTGGAAATTTGCAAAGATACATGGTCCTACAGGTGTCAATTTAGCACGGGCTTCAGGTAAATGCCACAGTAGCTTTTTCTATCCCAGAAACTAAACATAGAATACTAGCTTAGACCAATAGACCCAAACTAAAAGAACTATAAAAAAGGAAGTTTAACCTTAATGAAGGCTTCTGGATTGGGGCAATTCTGGTTCTTTGATAATCTCAAAGTGGCTTCAGCTGCTGAGCGGCCATCTCTGGAAGCGACGGCCTTAAAAAAATCAAGTAAATTTCCCCTGTCATTTTTTGACAGTTCAGCAGTCATCCCAACATCAAGGAAAATGACATGTGGCTTTGTTTTGGAGATACGTCTGCGTGATGACTTGCTCTGAGGTACCCTAACTAGAATATTCCCAGGATGCATATCGGCATGCATAAAGTTGTCTACCTGGAAAAAGAAAACTAATTTAAACATTGTAACACAGATAATAGGGAAAGTAGTGACAGTTCACATTTTTCATATGCAATCAGTGTCTCCTCATTTTTCTTATTTCACTTGATATGTTATTTAACTCAACCCATAACATAAAATTGCTTTGAAGTATGCTCAATTGCTCATATGTTGCATTTGTTTCACAAAATACCCTTGATATATACTGCGTATCAATCTTATAATAGATAACAGGTAGAACTTCTTACAATCTCTCCCTCCCCCAAAAAACCCTCATACAAATAACTGCCAGTATGAAAAGATGACAAGCATGAGAGATTATATTCTAAGCCAAAAAGATGGGGAGAGAAGTTACTCTTAAAATCATTCCTAATCATGATACAAATCATACAATCATACTCGGAATTGATCATATCAAGTCTATCTTTTTACTATTGTATCGCACACTAGACACTCCTATGCAGGTTTAGAGAATAACAAATAGTCTAATTTCATCTAGAAACATATTTTATTAATATGGTATATCCGTATAAATACAAATGCAAAAACAAGCCAAAAGATATTGACGGTTACCCTATGGCTAAAAGATGCAACATATCAAACACAATATGATAACAATACAAAGGAGAAATTTCCATTTGTGCCCCCCAATTATTCTGCCCTCTAGGATGTAGTCCCGCATTATCAATTTGGTATTCAACCACTCACTCGTTTCTCTAGTCAATTCAGAACTGTCAAAAGAGGGTTTTTATGAGAAAATACCAAGCTAAGGCATCACATTTAAGTATAATGGTCCTTAACACCACTCAGAAACCAAAAGAACTACTACATGCATTGAAGTAATACCATACATTTATATGGGAAAAACAAAGAAATATTACCAGAAGCATTTTGAGAAGTGCATGGGTACCAATGTGAGCAAGAGCACTCTTAAGGCGTTCATTCCCCTGCATCCCATCAACATAGTGTGACACACATTCCCCTTGCTCAAAAGTTTCTACTAATACTGCAGGGTGCACGAGTGGGTACACAGGCTTAGGAAAAGACACATCCTTCCATCTCCGAAAATTATAAATGAAACGACTTAAATGAGAAGCTTCCCTTGCAAGGTCTACTTGGGACATCATAAAAACTGCAAATTGCTGGACACTCTCATCCAACCTCAGCCATTTCAGAGCAGGAATGGCCTTTGACATTTTAGCAAACATATTAATGATTTCAAAGTCTCTTTTAATAGATTCGCCGACTCCGGGATGTCTAACCTTAACGGCCACATCAATGGGTTTGATCTCCCTACCATGATATCTATACTTCAGAGAAGCTCGATGCACCTGAGCTATACTCCCAGATGCAACAGGAGTTTCCTCAAAATCATCAAAAATTTCTGAAATCTTACGGCCGAAAGCTTTCTCAATTGCTTTTTTCGTATATGAAAAGGAATGCTCGGGGGCCTTGGTATGAAGCTTTGACAGCTGCGCACATAAATCACTAGAGAACAGATCTGGGCGTGTAGCTGCCCACTGGCCCCACTTTATAAAAGCGGGCCCTGCTCTTTCAAGTGTTCGATGAACAACCTCAAGCCACATTTTGCGGAAGCGGGGTCCAAAAGCATCGGCAAAAGGAGCCATTGTTATGCTTGGTGTGAAGAGTATTGTCAAATAAATCCCTCTAAACAATAAAACAAAGCCTTCAAATATTGAATGAACCAACCCTGTGAAGAAAGCATGGCCATCTTGAGCATGCATATACAGTGTGTTTCTAGGGTGGATAAAATCCATGTCAGGTGTTGCTCGTGCCAATGCAACTCGCCCTCCATATAAAATGGAAAAAAGTCCAGGAACAATCACATACGAGCGGTTTAAGGCCAAGCTAACAGCTTGAGAAATTTTACTTATGGGAAGAGACGTCCACCCCTTATGTGCACCAGTAATATTTGCAGATTTGGACTCAACTTTTTTGAGATTGTTGGACAGACCATTTTTAATGTTGTATGCCATGAATGAGTTATATCCTCTAGCTGAATGTGTACATTGCTGATAAAATCTATAGAGAGGAGAATGTATCCCATCCATAACAAGGATTCCATATTCCCTTTCTCCTTGATTGAGGCTAGACCGACTTTTCTGTAGCACCTTTGCAACTCTTATTATATTATTACCAATTGCCAATAATCTGCATCACAGTTACAGGTCAGAAATACGGGCATAAAGATGCAATATCAAGTCTTAAATATTAATGTAACAGAGAGGAGAGGGGGGGGGGTGCATTAGCATCACAATATCTTGAACAAAATTATGAGATCTATATGCAAATTCATAGAAAATGAATAAATTAATTGATGTAATTATGAACATTATTCATACATAATTAATTTTTCAATGGATAATCAAGAAACCATCCACAAACATTGATCCTTTAAATTTCACTCAAAAGATGTCTCATTCCTCTATGATGATGCTATATTCAATGAGCATTGAAACCCTATCAAGCTATTTACATTAGGGCTAAATGAAAAGCAGTTAAGGTGCTATGTCTTCAATTCTAAGTAACACGGAAATAGTAACAAAGACAGAAACAACAACAGTGCAGTTTCCTTAGCCAATTTTGCCACCAAAACTGAGTGAAGGGATGAACTTACTAATATAGTGGTAGAGTCTGCCTTAAAAACCCATCCATGCTCATTGCTAAAGTATCTGTCAAATGTTCCGAGAGTTGTACAATATTTGGTGGTTTCAAAAAACAAAATCCAAACATGTTGGAATTTTTCCCAGCCCAAAGAGCTAAGGGATGAACTTACTAATATAGTTCCCTTTTCAAATGCCAGATGGTGGTAGTTCTACCACATGCTCCAGACCTGAGACCTCTATATTTGAATATCACATTAGCCAAGGGGCTAGTAGCCCAATGGCCCTCCACAACCTCTCTGTAGCAACCTGGTCTATTTAAGTCTGGTCTGGTCTCAACTGGTGTGGTGGATGTTTGTTCTATGTGTATTTTACAACTTTCGAAGTCTAGTATGGTATATAGTGGTCTGCTTAAGTCGTGTCTCGGACCGAAACCAATCCAATTAAAAACATATGAAGTGTATATCTAAGACACTATAAGGACTTAGTGAGTGATGTTTCACAAATTTACTCCAACTCCAACATTCTAGCTGGAGGGGAGGGGAGGGGAGGGACATCTCTTGTTTGGGGGTTCAATTTTATTGTTTTATTTATTTGACATATGGTCTCCACTTCACACCATTATTCAAAGCTAAAAAAAACTCCTAAATTCACGTGATCATTATCTAGACATTATTCGACAATCTAGCAAGTTGTCAAGTTCAATATGAGAACGGCAGGTAGGAGAGAAAATGACACATTTAAACAAATCTAAATTCAGCTAGAGTACAAGAAATCATTTCAAAAAACAGCAACCGAATAGCAAAGCAAAACAGATACCATATATACAACATGCGAGCTTATCTTTACTAGAATAAAATAGTTGGAAGCAACACAACCCACTGAATTTTAAAAACAATTATATAGAATACACACACACACACACACACACACACAGAGAGAGAGAGAGAGAGTTGTGAGAGCAACCTTGACATGGTCGACAAAGCTTGGAGGTAAGGGTTCTGTAATGGTCAAGCCAAACGTACATAGGAAGAAACAACGGCGAAGCGTCGGCGAGAAGGCATGCTCCGGAGATCTTCAACCAATAAAAAAAAACGAATCTAAATCCCGGTTCTGAGTATAGCTGATCCCGGAGAGCAAACAGATAGGCTAACTACAGACCTAGACTACACGGCGAAGATGAAAATATCCCCTTCTTGTAAGGTCAACTAGATTGCGATGCACGGACAATATAATCAATTCCCTACATAACATAGAAAAAAATAACATAGAAATTGATAAAACTATAAATAGAAATTGCTCTAAATAAGAGCAAAAATATTTTTAAATTCCAAAATAGGAGTATCATGTTTTTTATTCCTTATATAGGAGTAATCTGTCAAATTTGTAAAAAAATGTCATGTTTTAAAGTCTAGTAATGTCAAACTTGGCAGAAATTTACTTCAAGAAATAAAAAACATGATACTCCTATTTTAGAATTTTAAAACTTTTTTACTCTTATTTAGGAAATTCTTTCAACTATAATATATACAAACGCTGAAAGAGAACATAGCTATATAATAATGTGTTATAAGTGAAATACTTTTTCTGTATTTTTAAGTTCCCTACGCTAGGTTTGGACACATCATTTAAGTGGAAAATAGTAGGAGTAATAAATAGTCTAGAAAAAATATGAGAAATTAAATGTGGAAAATTATGAAATAAAAAATAAAAAGTAGAAAAAGTAAAGATAATTGAATATTTAGAAATTACTCCAAATATGAGTAAAACTGTAGCAAAAACCCCAAAATAGGACTTGTTATATTTTTTAAAAAAAATAGGACCATATTACTCCTATTGGAAACATACCTATTTTTTCATTCCATTCTTACACCTCCTGTAAATATGAGTAAAATGTAGTTAAAAGTCATAATTAAATGTTTAATTTATAATAAATTCGAAAAAATATTAAAAAACGTAGAAAAATAGTAAAGCATTAATAAAATATTTATAAAAAAATAAACTTTTTTTAATAAAAAATTAATTAATAAAAAATAGTAAATATCCATAACAAAATATGGATGCCTTTCCCACCGCCTGTAGTGTCTCCGTGCACCACCACCTCTGACCGGTGTAAAAAATGTCATTTTTTCTCAAAATGACAATAAAATGACATACTCCTTGAGAATGCCAAATTTTTCATTGAATCTGCCATAAATATGGCATTCCTAATGCATGTGAAATCCCCCCCCTCCGGTGATGGTGGTGCTGGGGCGGCAGAGGCAGTGGTAATTTTTTTTAGTGTTTTTTAGGTTTTTTAAAAAAAATTGATTTTTAAAATTTTTAAATTTTTTAAATTATACGCCTTTCTCACCGCTTGTACTACCTCACTCCACCACCACCTCTGACCGGAGTAATAATTATATTTAGTTAAATAATTTTATTAATTGTTTAGTATTTTTTACGAATTTTAATTATTTTTTTATTATTTTATTATGATGTAAAACATTTCAATAACAACACGGGGTATATTTGTCCAACACATACGTAATTAGTTCTATCAAAACGTAGTTTACTTTTTTATCCTATTTGTGCAAAGTGATCAACTTTTAGTCCTATATTGACAATTAAACCTTGAATATTTTTAAAGAAAAATCTTACCAAAAAAGAAAGTGTAACAAAATTTTAAATACATCAAAAAAGGAAAGTGAAATAAACCTTAAAGTACGGAGAGTATTTAAGAAGAGTACATGTAAAATGCTTGCAATGTTCCACCAAAAGCGCACAAAATGTAAACATTACAATGAGGGAACAAACTATAAAACATTGTGATCTATTTGTTTATCATTGTCATCACTAATCATTTGAGGTTCATTTAGGTCCCTGAGGATATCTTTAACCTTTGTATACATAGTAAGATATTTTTGTAAACTATTTAACTTTTATTTATTCAAAAATAATTTCCTTCTAAAAAATACAGAGTCAAGTTTATCATTAATTATTATTCATATAATCACAATAATAAGTGACATCTCAAAAGATTAACAGTTTTTATATGAAATACTCATTTCATTCCGTTGAAAGGTTTTAACTTTCTTTATTTAGGTATCTCATTTAAAGATTCTCATTGAACTAATTTATTCTTTTTAATTACACATACTTCGTATATCCAAATTTCTCTTTCATACTCGTTACATGTCAAGTCTCACAATTTTCCATAGTCAACTTATCTCTCTTTAATTGCTTTCACTTTTTATGTTTACTTTTTTTAATTTCCTTTTTCCTCTCTTTTTTACTAAAATTATTATATTTAACCACTTGCCTAAAAATCATGTCATTTACGCATGGGAACTTTCCAACGGGATGGATGAAGTAAAACAGATCCCTCATCATAAATATAAGAGATAATTTCGTAAGTGGGAGTAAAACATAACAAAAGTTCAATAATAGGAGCTCAGTGTTTCCTAGGAGTAAAAGTAAGTCAATAGACAAAACTACCCTTCATGAAAGCTGGATTATTTATTAGTTATTTATTAGCTAATACGGAGCATAAAACAAAATACAAAAATACTTCGTAGAATTTTACACAGATCAATCTGGTCTACATACTACCACACCATTTGGTGCAGGCCAGCCACCATCTCTTCTGCCATTGTCGTCGGCTCCGCCTGCGCTGCCTGCTCCGTCGCTGAGGTCACTCAATCTGACGCTGCTCTCAAGCAAGTAAGAAGGGGATTATGGGGTTTGCAATTCAGGGGATTTGACTTTAGACCCTAAATTTTGGATTGTATTTGTTTTTGAACTCTATCTTTAAAACCATTAATGTATGTACTTCATCAGTTCAAGAATTATGAAGGGTTGGAATGCAAGTCAAATAATTTCACAATGAATCGGAGTGCATACATTGATGATTTTGAAAATAATGTGCAAACTCAAATAGCACTCAAAATATCGAGTGAAAAGTCTATTAGGTATTGGCCCATTAATTCCATAAGCCCATTTTACCTATGTTGTACCCGGCCCCTATTTTCTTCGTTGAATCGTGCCTGCACGATTACTCCCTTTGCGCGATTCTCTCCGCGTCTGATTCTTTCCTTCTTCTGTTGTGTGATTCTGGCAAGACTCACTATCATGGTAAGTTTTCGTCTTTACAATATGTACATCGCCTATATAACTTCTTATGGAGTATATGGCCCGGGAACCCCCGGTCCACAGACTTCTACTACTCCAATAAAGGCCCAATAGGCCCAGGAAGCACAACGGGCCCAAATCACAGCGCCCAGAGTACCAAGCGGCCCACAGTGAGCGCTAGGAGTGCCTTCGGCCCCTGGCCGAAGGCTCTGATTCTCACAGGAGGGTCAAAACAGGAAAACAAAGTTACTCGGAGAAAACGGTGAAAATCAGTAGCCCTCGGCACCTAGAGCCCTCGGCACTAAGGGGGTCCCCGGTACTCAGAGCCCTCGACTAGTCATCTACAGCCGAGGGCACCTTTTCTGACATGATATCCGCTCCACATGTGTATGGATCACCGTACCAAGTACGACGTCACATCCAACAGCCGCATTAAATGCGGCCACATGCGATTGCCAGCGCCAACCAGTTGAGGTGACCCCTCGGCCAATGGATGCTTGACATGTGTCCCTGTCTGGCATTTATTGCTACTATAAATAGCACCCCATTTCCTCATTTGTAAAAGAGAGAAGCAAATACGCTGAATACATTCCCAATATACTCTATCTATCTTTACTTACTTGCTCTGACTTCTCTCTAGTTATTCCCCGTAATAACCCCTCAGATAAGCTACCCCCGGGTACACTATCCATCATTTGGTGCTCTCGTTGAGAGCTCGAACAATCAAGTAAGAAACCCTCCCCTCAACCAAACACAAAATACCTAGCTAAAATGGTGAGAACAACTCGTGCCAACTCCAGGAACGTAGAGGACAGGAACCTGGCCCTCGGCGAGGTCGACATCCCCGAAGCCTCCAACAGGGCTCCCGGGGGTGGCGTCATCGTCGGGTTGGACCAGACGGCTGTCGACCTACGCCAGCAGATTCAATAGAATGCTCCTGATGCCCGCCTCGGCATCGAGGCCAAAAAGAAGGACCGGAGTGAGAATCAAATTAGCCCTCCGGTCATCACAATCGGCGCTCTCCGCCTTCATCCAGACGCTCACCCAGAACCCGGGTGCCTTCGGCACTTGGGTTCCCCTCCAACCTCAGGTCGGGGAAAATATTATGCCTCCCCCTCATCCACACCCCCTCGGGAACCCGGTCCTCCGGATTGGGAACTCCGAGGGGGTCGTGGCCCAAGATACGGCCTCCCATGAAGTCTAGTCCCGGGACCGCCACAACGTAAACAAGGAACAACTCCGGACCTCCGCCCTCGAGAGACTCGGAGGGGCGCAAGTGTAACACTGCCCCCGAGTATTTGTACTGTACCAAATTATGTATTGAACCTTGAGAAATGTATAAAAGCATTTTTACGTGACTGTAAATTTTTATCATTTCTATTACGTGAATAGTAAAATTCATGTGGGGCCCACACCGGATGTGGGGCCGCCCGATATTATCGGGACCACATATTATATTGATCTTGGACTAGATAATATGTATATGGTGATGGATATTCTAATTGGGCCATGGCAATGGCATAGAGTCGACCGGTTGGTCAAACGGGGCCAAATTATCGGTATCGGCGATTTATCAGATAACAGCCCAAAAAGGGGTTCCGGAGATTTCTAAATTAAAGTTGGGGAGTCATATTGATTCTAAGGACCAATAAGGATTGGGAACAAGTGTTATATTTTATTTGACCCGATAAAATAAAATATACTTGAAACAGTCCGGAAAATATAAGTTTCGGGACCGATTGTACACTCGGGTACACAAAGGGTTGACCTCCCACATAAGTGGGGGCCAACCCACGTATTTAGCTCTGCAAGGAAGCAAGGGGAGCCGCACAAGAACATGGGGGAGAGGCATGAAGTGATCTAGGATCAAAACAAATAAATGAAATGGGACCCCTCCCATATTATTTGATGAGAAATGCCAAAAAGGCATTCTCAATCAATCCTCAACCCATAGGCTCGGCCAGACCATCATCCTAGAGTAAAGAAGGTCTGAAAAACTCCATTGTTACCATCCTAACACGCACCAAGAACAAAGGAGGAAGAAGGAGGGGAAAAGAGGAGAAAAGTTGGTTTTGGAGAGGAAAACTTGTGTTTAGCAAGGTAAGGACTCCATTAATCTCATTTCTTGTTCTT